TTCTTCATGCTTCTTACAATTCAACTGGAGTCTTCTTGGCCGTTTCCAATAACCGCGGAGACATAATAGTGATAGATTTTGTCCTTCGGAAATTTTGGTCGTTGGGCTTCATAGCTCTAGGCTCGACTCTCATCAAATTCAGTCCATTCCAACCATCCGATCTCTTGGTAGGTGGAGAAGGATTCCTCCATATCGTCGACGCCAATAACGGAACAATACTGGCCATTTTAGAAGGTCATCGAGGAGCCTTAGTGGACGCATCCTTTTCCGATAATCATCTGTTAATAACATCCACGAGCAACGAGGCAATAATTTGGAGAACCGAAAAATACGAGAAACTGCGCGTTCTCGTTTTAGAAGAAGGGACCATTTTGAAATCAGTCCGTTCTTTGACTTATAATTAATGTTATTATATTAATTAAACATTATTTTAATTAATTAGGTGGTCTTCATGCCCATCAGTAATAACGTGATGACATGTTACCAGAACGATGCAATACAAGCGTGGAAGAGCGACACGTTAGAACCTATAAACCAAATTATTCCTAACGTCATCAACAGAATCACCGTGAAGACTATAGCCTTTACTAGGTAGGTGTACTAGCTGCAAGAATCTGTTAATATATTTCTAAGGAATGGTCGGGCAATGGTTATAGGTGGATATTCACCGCAACTACTGGTCTTCATGATTGACATATGGAAAGCAGTGGAGACGTTAACATTACCAGAAAATTTCCGGGGTGTCAAGCAGCTGGAGTTTCTTCCGCAACATTTCGATGCTGGAGCGAATAAAATTTTGATCGCATTAACGACCAATCGATTCGTTATCTTCATTGACATGGAAAAGGAGGAGCTCATCACAAAATTGGAATGCGCGGATGTTAGCAGGATAAGCGTGTGTCCTTTGGGCAAACAAATCGGCTGCGTCACCAACAGCGGCGATGTGCGCGTTTTTGCTGTCGCCCAAATCTTCGAGAAATACAACAGCAAAGAGGCTCTTGTGCATGAACCCTACAAACCGGGTATTGTCTTGAGGAAACCGAACTACGCAAAAGTAAAACAGAAGGTGAATTAGTAGGTTAATTGATATGAGTCAATTTCTATCTAAGTATGGTAGATGAGAGATGTTTTAGACTTGAACAAACTTCGCGGAATCTTGAAGGAGTTCAATGCCTATCCGGATTTGTACCGACGGACGATTTGGTCCTTCATACTGGGGATTCCTAACAATGCTAAACAATACGAAGCTATAGTGAGGAACGTTTACGATTGCAAGTTTCTTGATCTGGAGAGTTACTATCCAATTGAAAATAAACGGGATTTGAAGAACCTAAAACGAACTTTGAGTGATTTAGTCTCTTGGTGCCCGTTCTTCTCCGAAGTGACTTATTTACCCACATTCGTTTTTCCTTTTACGCGATTTCTGCAGTCCGAACCGATAATCTGCTTCGAAGTCGTCATGACCATCATCGGTAATTTTATACTTTTCGTTAATTTGATTCATTTTAATCGTAATATTTTCAGTGAACTTCTGCCAATATTGGTTCGAGTACCATCCGCTGCCTCCGGTTAACGTACTCGGGATGATCGAAAACATTCTGATGGAGCACGATTCCGAATTGGTTTGTCATCTGCATGCAAATGCTGTGACCTCCAAATTATACGCGTGGTCTCTGTTGAAGAGCGCTTTTTCGGAAATAGTCTGCGCCAACGACTGGTTGATTATCTGGGATCACATCATCTCCAACGAACCATCATTTGTTCTCTTCGCCGTAGCAGCTTACAGTTTAATCAACCGCAACTACTTGTTAGCGCACAAAGGTTTAGATTACTTCAACGAATTTTACCACAACCAGAATCCGCTTGATTTCAAACGATTCATCGCAAAGATCTATCAGTTACTGGCTAACACAACCGAGAACAACCAGCCAAGACAGTACTTGGATTATTTTATACCGCGGGACACTTATCCGGAATTCGAGGGATTCCCGCAATCCTCCTTGCAATACGATGAAACTAAGCAAGCGGTGCAGAAGGAAAATAAGGATATGCTGAGGAACGAGCAGGAGTTTATGCGAACGCGATGCGAGGAAATTGATAAACTGAAGGACGTGCAACGCGAAAGTGAAGAAATGATGCGCCTGTCTGGTAATTGATATTTAAAACCATTAATAGCTAGTTTTAAACTAATTGTGATTAGAATTAAGGGAACTCTACGCGAATAAGATGAAACTGGAGAGGAAGTCGGTGTGCGAGCAGCGTGAGCGATTAAGGAAATTCCGATCGAGAATCGCCAAAGAAGAATCTGAATTGTTGAGCGTTGCCAAAATGGAGATGCTGGAGAAGACGTGCAAGGATAAACGACGTACTTTGGAAACGTTGCAGAGCGTCAAACAAAATGTGTCTCTGGTGGAAGAAGAGCTTTTAGAGCATTACAAGAAATTGTTGAAACATAAGCTACAAATCGAGAGGCTGATGCGTGGCCAAGGAGACACCACGGGATTGACCGAAGAGTATCGCAAACTGGAAGACGAAATACTTAAAGTATATCAATTTTGCAATTGTTTCCATCATAAACAATGAGTACATTGTGAATATTATATTTAGTCATAATGTGATAGAGATAATTCTAACTAGAATGGAAAGTTTACTTTATCGCGTGATTTTTATTTTGGTTTTATCAGTATGATACAATAATGTTTATGCTTTTAGGCTAGAGTGACTGCAAATAGTACCGAATATTTAAAACAATTGAACGTGGCTACCGGATTGGCTGCGATGGACAACTTGATCGGAAAGGTGCAGTCCGAGATTGAGAAGAGATCGAAGAGTAGTAGTTCGGATTCTACGAACACTCTGCAAGTGGGTTTCGAATCTTAGCACGTACATCAAGTAAATTAATCGTAAATTACTTTTATTTTAGATTACTAAGTTGTCCAGTGAAAGCAAAGAACTGGGAGAGGAGATCAAGAATCTCATGAGTCTTCTCAGTAAAATTAAGTGATTTGTATAAAATGTAATTTATTTAATTTAAAAAACATGTTATAAAGCGTAGCTCAATAATATTTATATACAAATAATATATATGATATATTATGTTTGTCAATCGTATTGAATTAAAGAATGTACATTCGCTGCAATTTTGGCCCTACCGTTAAGGTCGCTCAGCTCCATGACCACGAAGCACTCTGCAACTTCAGCACCAAAAGCATTTACGAGGCTGCATGATGCGGACATACTTCCGCCCGTTGCTAGAAGATCATCCACGATCAACACACGGTCTCCTTGTTTAACAGCATCTTCCTGCATTTCGAAAGCATCCTGCAAACAGATTCACCATATAAAACCTGCATCTAAGAAAGACTAAATCTCCTCGTGCTTTATACTTGACCGTATTCCAGCGAGTATTGGACAGTTCTAGTCATTCCCGGTAGTTTTCCCTTCTTTCTAATTGGCACGAAAGGCACGTTAAGTTCCAAAGCTATCAGAGGACCGAAAAGGAATCCGCGACTTTCAAGCGCTGCGACAACTTGGACTGGAGGCTGCAGTTGCTTGGCGTGCTCGACCATCACATCCCTCAAGAGACCGAAGATCTTGGGCTGCCGCAGCACAGAAAACACGTCCCTACGAGAAGAAGTCCAGAAGTTTACTTTGACCTCCGGTGGAGGCTACGGTGTAGAATATGTAGGTGTAAAGGATCAGTGCAGCAAAGGCTAGCAAATTGATTGCCACACTTAACTTGCCACTTTCCATTTTCGCACTGAGCTCATTTGCAACGTATTATCGCGTTTTAAAATTAACTCTTATCGAACTCCCAGATAACACGTTTGTATTACAAAAACAATGAGAGTAATTATCCTTATGAATATGACCTTGCCTCACCTGAAAAGGATTCCTTTGATTGGGAAGTCAGGATAACTGCTGATCGCCTTTTTTATTTCATCAATTTTATTCGCGCTTCCACTCATTTTGTCTGTTCCAATAAGCTGCAAAGAAAACTAATCTTCAGACCCAGGAACTGAATAGCTATATAACCTACATAGCAATCACGTGGTGATCGTTCTCGCATCCTCTATTCATAAATTAATCAGATAAAGATTCATATTTCAAAATTTATAAATTCCGCCATAAACATGTCCCGTCTTCATCTAATCAAATTGAGAAACTTTCGTCCATCTCATGCTAATTATGCAATTTATTTTCACAATAAGCAAACTATAAATAATTAATTAATCAATTTATTTACAAGTATATCAGACAATCAAGGTTGTTTAGTTATACAAAATATAAATATTTATGTAAATAAATAATATATCTATTATCCTTGTAAGCACCATCTATGAACCATTGCCTTCAACTATCAATAACCTCAAAATAAAAGGTTTGTGCTTGATTATAATTATATTTTACTATTATTTATTATACTTTTTCAGTTTATTCGAGATGAGATTAACACAACTGCTGTGTTCGTCTGTGGGAAAATGGTCCAAGCAATTTTCCAACCTGCCTGATAGGTATATTGAGAGGACCATGAATCAGGTGTACTGGAAGAACCCCAAGGGGTCACAATATAAACCAAATACTGAGGTGAAACGCAAGAAATTCAGATTTTCCGTGCATAGGCCATGGACAGCGCAATTCAGGCAGCAGAATTCACCTGGTAAACTGTACAAAAAAGTGTTTGTTGAACCCATCAAGGATTGGAGCTTCTTCCGGGGTGATCGTGTAGAAGTACTTGTGGGACCTGATAAAGGAAAACAGGGCTATGTAAAACAGATTATTGAGGAGAGGAATTGGGTTTTTGTTGAGGGTTTGAATTGTACTCTGAAAGATATGGGAGGTGATAAAAAATATCCGGGTATTTATGTGAAGATGGAGCAACCACTTTTGGTCACCACTCAGGTGTCTCTGGTGGATCCATCTGATTTGCAAGCAACTGCTTTTGAGTGGAGGTTCACAGAGGAAGGTGACAAGGTTCGGGTATCTACAAGGACTGGAAGGATCATTCCATTGCCTGCATCTATTGAAGAAACCATTGACTACAAAAGCAAAGCCACTTACAAGGAGCAACCTAAGGATACTTTAGCTGATGATGTCTCTGAGGTTACTTTCCAACCAGCATTGAAGACTTTCCAGATGGACATCATGGAAAGTATGGACATCAAAGATGAGAGAGTACCACTAAAGACATACTGGTACTAATGTATATAATTTATAGTTTTATTGTTAATAAATAATTAAATCACAAATTCAAAAGTTATTAACACCACAACCAATCATAATAGTTATACTTACCTAGCTATCAATGAAAAATATTTTCTACACCATAAGATTTTCATAATGTTCAATTGGTTGCATATAATAAATATTAAATATTCTTCATTAATTAGATTAATATTTTAATTATAAAAATATTTACAACCAATTAATAAAACATGTATTTATTAATTATTTAATACTTTATTTGTTAATCTCTAAACATAAAATTCGTTATATTATAATTAATTTCTAATAATAATAATTTATTGGCCAAACATCAATACATAAGAAGAAAAAAAAAAAAGTACAATTTATACATAAATAAATTTTAACATACAATAAAAAAAATATATATTAATAGGCTGGCCAAAGGACTAACGAATTAATTTCTATATTACATGAAAAGCTAGTAAATTTTGTAGTAAATAAATATTAGACCATGTTTTGTTAATTAGAAACATTAGTTGCCTGTTTTATATTAATAATTATTAATAATGTCATGAAGCTCACATGATATTAAATAAATAATACAAATTTGCGTTAATTATGGCAGCAATGAACCGAAACCACTTTAAATTTATATATTATTCAGCTTCAATACTAACATTATCAAATGTGATATTGATCACCACATACAATTCAAGTCCTCAGCACAAAAACATATTAAATATTCATGGAAGAGTAAAATTCACAGGAATATCATTTGAAAGAAAATAATTTTATTTATACAAACATATAATTTCGACATAATATTACATTTCTATTTAATATTGAATAAATAATGAAATTGTGGAAGCTGTATTCTATACAGATGAAATTTTGTTCAGTTTACTTATTATATATTGATTAATTTCTTGTATAGTAACAGATTAGATTTGCATCTGTATATTCTAAGAAGAACTGAGATTCAAACCGAAATTAATTTCGTTCCGGTTTACTGTTACTGATCAGTTAAAAATTTCGGTTCGGTTCGACTCTCTGAATAAGAATATGGGTCTGATGCTTTATAAATTATCTATATTACTATAACTGAAAGTTATTGTTCAAATTTTTTTTTGGATATCTGCACGTTAATTTTTATTAAAAATGTTAAAAATATATTTTACCTACAAATTAGTTTCGTTTAATTAAATAATCACTTTGTAGAAAAAAAAAACAACTTATGGTCAATAGCCCTTCCTAACAGTTGTTGTTTCAATAAATATTACTGTTATTATATTTACTTAAAAGTGATATTTTAAGGATATTTTACTGCAGTTTTTCTAGAAAAAGTCACATTTAAGCACCTAATGCAATTTAAATGTTATGAAAAATATTAGAATGATCAGTACTAGTTTCGCACATTTTTTCAGAATATTACCCGCTTTTGCATATTCGATGCAACGTGCATGTGTATAGAGATGTAACGTGGGATAATGCAGGAAGTGGGTCAACGAAATGCAATTGATTCGAATTTGTACAAATTACCCAAACACGAAAACAAAAAAAAAACACGTGTAAAAGTGAAGTCCGAACAATACGAAATAAATCAACCGTGTAAAGAATACAAACAAAAAAGACAACAAACAAACCCGAAAATAAAATGAAACGAGGCGTCGCAATGATTTCAACATCACGAAACACCCGCGTTTTATTTAATTTTTTTTTCCGTTTCGGAAATTTGAATACAATCACGTGTTTCGGGTCGATAGGGGTCGGTTAATTATTAAGCAACCACCGCGGGGGTTGGGTTTTTGTTATGTAAGTCGAACGCTGAATGCTGAATGCGGAATACTTTTTCGCCGGTTAATTGGGTTTGTGCATGGAGGCGGCGGTGAATCCGCAGAATTTGATCCTGCGAAAACAATGATCCCATTATTGCCGGGAAACCGGGATTCGCGATTTACGATTATTTTAAACTTATTTCGAAATCCCCGCGCTTTTGTTCTACGCAAAACTTTGGTACGTGCCATTATTTTGAAAAACACACACACACATACATCTACGTCTTCAACCCTTATTATGCAAACTTACATAAACATGTAAATAGAGAGAGAGAGAGATGCGTCGCTCTGCATTCTATTCATCTCGGAAAAACTGATTTTCCGATTTGCTCAAGGATATCCTGATTCAAACTTCTCAATCGTTGAACAAGTAATAATAACCGAGGGTAAGATCGCGTTTTGTGAGGGCAGAGACGAAATCTATCATCAGTTTGCGATGGGTGAAAATGCCCATCGATTGGAGACGAGGTCGAGGAAAACTTTGCGGACAAAGTTCATTAAACGGATAAAAAAATTGTGTGCGCAGCCCCGCCGCTATAAGCATCCTCTTGATCATATACATGGTTATATATATATTTTTGTCCGCACACGCACATCAACCCTTATGGACGGAAGCGTCGTCGCCCGTCTGCCACATATCCACCCCCCGCGGCTCCGACACTAACGACAGAATCCAACTCTTCGGGCCAACAAAAATGAACACAGACTTCGATAAATCCGCACATTACTCCTTTTTTCTTTCAGATATTTTCTTGGATTTAGTCTTCTCTACTGCAAATATGGACGCGATAACAATTATCGTAAAATCTTGCTACGAGACACCCCCCAAACGAACCGAACAATAAATGCTGGTGGCTCTTTCTAAATCTTCGCATCTCGCTTGAAAACCAAATCAAACGCAATCTCTGTTACCAGACAATCTTCACATTACATACATAATCGTTTCCTTTTAAACTTCAAACATAAGTTAATTTTGCATCTTAACAAATCTCAGTTAAATACAAAATATTTCATTACAAATGTATTTCAAGTCACAGTTTACTATTCCATAAAAAATACTAATTTTATTTATTTCCCAATTAAAAAATAGTTTTACTGTTATGTTTTTTATCGGATTTCTCTAGAGCAGCGGTCGGGGAACTTTTTTAACCATTACCCCAAAAAAAAATTGCGTAAGTCCCCCCCCATTCTGAAAAGAAAACAATCAATGTAAATTTTAAATAAATATTATTTATTGAATTAATTTACATTTACATATTTATAAAAAAAAGTTACATGAAAATAGTAACAAATAGTAATAGACAAACAAAATAAAATTCTTAAATTGGAACAAACAAA